TGCGCTCATATGACTTTACTAGCATTAATTTACGTTATGGAGGGTGTGCGGATACTTTTGTCTACCCTCTGTATTAAGAAACAAAATGTTAGAAGTTTTAATAAACTTAAATAGCAGTTCTTTATAATAATTTAAAAAAAAAACTTTAAAATATTTTAATGTTGAATATTAGATCTTATAAAAAGATTTAATTTGATATTACATAAACAAACTAGAATTTCTTAAAAATTTCCTAATAAAACTCAAAATAATTAGAAAATTTTACCAGTTTGTTAAAAACTTAAGAATTAGAAAATCATTAGAACTAGATTTAATATAGCTAATATTTATATGATTAACTTTAAAAAAGAGAAGACAGTTTATATTTAAATCACAGAAAATAAAAAAAAACTGATTTAATATAGTTCTTACATATAAGTTAATTGTTAAAAAATCAGATTCCAGAAATTTTTAGCAAAATTGAGATTTTTATTGTATTTTAATTTTTGATATTATTAGATTAAAATATATTAAGCTCTTAATTTAAGTCAAAAATTTCTCAAAACCTGATTTTTCTAAAAATTCTTCTATATAATACTTTCAGAAAATTATAATATTAATTAGCATTATGAATCTTAAGACTAATTTATATGATAATTATTAACATTTTAAAGATAGTTTATATTATAATACTTATTAAAAAAAAGAAGCTAAAAATTACTCAAAGAATTCAAAAAAATATTTTTTCAAGATAATATTAGTAAAAAATTATAAAGTAAAATATAAAATTAATTAAAAAATAAAGAAAATTAATTAATTAAAATTATTTAAAGAGTAAAATATAATATTATTATATTAATGTTACTGCTTATTATAATTATAATTGAGCTTAAAATATTTATATATTATATTTAAATCAATAATTGAGTAAATTTATTTTATTTCACATAAAGTTCATTATTTAATATTTAAGATAAGATAAATAAGAGAACAAATTAATTATATTTTAATAAAAATGAAATTATAAAAAAGAATTTTAATAATATATTTAGTATAATCTTTAATAGAATTAAATTGAATAAAAGTAAAAAGTATCTAAAGATTATTTATAAAATGCTAATAAACATAATAAAAATAATATAATTATTTGATTTTTGGTAATTTATGATTATTATAAAATATTAAATTAAATTTATAATTTTAAGACATATAAATTCAAGTATGGTATAAATTTAAATTATTTAAAAAAATTTATAGAAAAATAAGAATAAGTTATTTGAATTATGTAATTAAAATAATAAATATTATGAAGGTAAAAAAAGTTTTAATACTTAGATATAAAAACTATTTGAAAATTTATTTTAAAAATTATTTAGAAATATTAAATATTTTCATTTAAAGCATCTAATCTTAATATAATAAAAGTTCAAGAAGTTATTAATAGACTTTTTACTAAATTTAACTTATTGAAAATTAAAAAAATAGATATTTTTAAAAAATTAGAACTTTATCTTATTTTAGTGTTAATATATTTCTTTTAAACTATAAAAGGTAATATATTTATTAGAATATTTGTCTATCTATTAAAATGATTTTAAAAATATTATTTATTTAAAACTAATTTTATACAGAAATAAATAAAATATTTAAATTAAAATAATTATCATAATTTTATCACTCATAAATTTGTCATTTACTATTATTATGTTTAATAAGTCTAATTTTTTGATAAATATTATTAACTTTTCTAAAAAAAAAAAAATATTAAACTAATTTACATACTTAATATACTTTTAAAAAGAATATAAATATATTAAAAAATAATTAAAAAAAAGGAATAAGTAAGAAAATCATGATAATTATAATAAATGAACTTAAATAAAGAAATAATTAATTATTAGAAAATTAAGATTTTAAATTAAAAATCTAATATGCAATTAGTTATTTATATCTAAATCAAAAATTATTAATGAAAATAAATTAAATCTTAATTAATCAAATCAAATTTTGAGAAAAATTAAAAGAGTTTATTTAAATAATATTATTATTAAAGAAATGCTAGATAAGTTTGTGATAATTTAAAAATTTTAGCTTTTATTTGTATTAAATATATTTTAGAATTAAATAGAAAAGATTAACAACTTTTTGAAGAAACAAAAAATATAAAAAAAAAATTGAGAAGTTAGAAACTGAGATTAAAAATAAGAAAATAGAATAGAGAGTTAAAAAATGAAATATAAATGAAATATAAAAAGTCAAAAAAGTATTATATATAGCTATAAAGTAGAAAAGTATCAAATATTTAAATAGTTTTAAAATATAATATTACAATAAGTAAATTGATAACCAAAAATCAGAAAGTAAACTGAAAGAATTACTTAAAATAAAAATTATTAATTTTATTAAAATAATAAAATAAAATAGGTATATAAACAAAAAAATTAGTAAATAAATAAAGAAAAACTAAAAAACAGTTCCAAATTTTTATTATTTAAAAAAGTAAAAAATTATATAAAGTTAGAATATAAAGTTTTAAAAATAGTAAAAAGTGATAAATAAGAATGTAATTTTTATGTTTTAGATTTTGATAATCCAATCAGTTTCAATTTCAATATTACTTCTATTATATTTTAATACTAATTAATTTTAATAATATTAAAATTAATTATGTCAATTTGATATTTATTATAAATTATTAATAAAATATTACATTTATCAAAATATAATTAATTAGTAATTTGTTAATTTTACATTAAAATATAATTTTTATTACTAATTAAATAATAACTTTTAATACTTCTAGTAATTATTATAATATAGTTTTTTTTATATTGTGAAAAATATAATAGGTTAAAGAAAAACAAAAATAAATGTTTTTATAATCAAATTAATTAAATCACTTTTTAACAAAAAACTTCTTTTACAGACTTTTAGTTCTTACCTAGTAAATAAAAATAAAAAAATTAGAAAGAGAATTATAATTACTAAAGAAGAATTAAATATTGATAAAGAAAAAATAATTAAATTTCAGAAAAAGTTTGAAAAATAAAGTAAAAAGCAGAAATAAGAATTATTGAATAAAATAAATAGTTTAAATAAAATTAAACAATTAGAAAAGAAAACAAAAAGTTAAAAAGAAAAGAATGGTTAAATTACTCAAATTGAAATTAAAAAAACTAAGAAATAATCTTAATTAAAAAAAAAAAGTAATTTTTAATTATTTCTTTTGTATAAATTAAAAATCATTTTAACTAATAAAAAAAAATGAATTAAAGAAATATTTAACTTTTGATATTTTATTGATAATGATCTAATAATAATAAAAAAATAACTACAATATTACTGATAAAATAAGATTTATATTCTTTCTGATTATAAATATAATCATGTTAAATTTACAATTTCTAACTTAAAAGATAAATATTTTGTTAAAGTTACTAATAAAATATAAAAATAATATTTCAAATAATAAAGAAAATTATAATGATAAATCTAATTATTAATAGCAATATAATTTTTTTAAATTTTATAATTATTATAATTTATATTAAAAAATTTAAAAAATAAATAAATTAATATTATAATAATAAGTTTATTTCCTTTTAAGAATTTTTAGATAATAACATAATTTTATTTTATTTTTAAATAGGTTTTAAATGTCTGAATATCATTTATTTGAAATTTAAAAAACAATTTTTTATTTTATTTTATTTTTTTTTAAAATACTTCTACTTATACTATTATTCTTTAATTTTATAGTAAATCTGATTTATATTAACTTATTTTATTTAAACAAATATTATAATTATATTATATTAATAATACAATTGTGATATCAAACAAATATTATTATTCCTAAAAATCTTAGTAATATCATTATTTAATTTTATTGCAGTATGTACTATATAATATTCTTTTATATAATTTTTTTTTAATAAAACACTTTAAAATATAATTATATTAAATTCAAATTTGTTTAAATAATATTTGATATTATTATTAATATTATATAATAAGTAGTTATATAGAAACAAATTGTTAAGTAATAAATATAAAACTATAATTTTAAAATAAATAATAATTTGTTGATAATAAATGATTAAAATAGATAATTAAAAAAAAATAATATAATAATTATTAAAGAATAAATACATAACAGTTATTATTTTGATTATAATTAATTGAGATTTTTTATATCTTTTTATTACATTTATTAATTATATTAATTATATTAAATATATCAATATAATAAATATATTAAATATATTAACTTTATTTTAAATATATATTTATTATATCATTTTGATTACATATTAATATTTAGTTATAATAAAAAATTTATTTTAATATTTTTTTTTTAATGTTTTTTTTTATATCCTTTTCATATATAATTCTTTTATTTTAAACCTTTATTATAATAAATAATAATATTATTAAATTCATAATCATTAAATATATTAATAATAATATTTAACTTTTATTTATTATTTTTTCTGTAAAATATTATAGCATATTAAATTATATTATAGATTTCTATTTGATGTAAATATTGTAACATTATTATATCTAAAAATCAATAAATATTTCTTTTAATCAACCTTTTTTTTCTTTACTAAAAATTCTTGAATTATATAAAGTGGAATTTTATATATAAGTTTTCTGGATTAAATCAAAAGTATGTTTGCATGAAAGTTTTAACTTTAAGGTAAATCGGGTACTCTTCTTTTATATTTTATTACGGCGATGATAATTGATTTTCTTTTTATGAAAAATTTACTACTAATTGTGTATATAATAAATTAAAGGTCTGTTCAGATTATCGTAATTATATTAAACTAAATTTTCCTGTGCTGTTAAATTATTAAATTTCATTTTATAATATATTCAGTCCTTTCTTTTTATAATGTATAAAATGAAGAATGTTCTTTAATAAAACCAAAAAATTTGACAATAAAATATTTTACGATGAAGTGAAAATTGGATTTAACCTATCGACACTTTAGGGGAAAAAGTGGAAATGTTGACCTTCGCCACCTTCAGAAGCTCCAAAAGGAAATCCACTAAATTGAAATCCTCCAGTGAATTGCATAAACGGATTATTATCATTATAAAAGAATGGTTGTCCTCCACCATTTGGATCATTTGGATCATCTCCGTTATCGAATTTAGCTCTTAATTCTAAATACATAAAAAACCATTTAATTTAAATTATTAATTTATTAATGTAAAAATTTTAAATCTTACCATCATTATTTAATACTTCATAAGCTTCATTAATAGTAGACATTTTAGCCTGAACTTGATCGGGTGTCAAATCACCCTTATATTTATCAGGATGCCATTCTTGAGCTAATTTTCTATAAGCTTTTTTAATGTCTTTTTTACTTGCCGTTCTTGATACTCCTAACACTTTATAATAATCTTTTTTCTTTGATTGTTTAAGCATACGGCTTGCTTTTTGGTATCCGACTTTTGCTCGATCATCTTGTCCTTGTGTTAAATCATGTGCTTTCTTAAAATCTTCCATTGCTCCCTCATAATTTTCTTCCATTAGATATGCTTCACCACGATATATCAAAGCCTCTGCATTCCTTTCATCGAATTTCAATGTCTCACTACACCATTTACATGCATCTTTAAATAATTTGCCTTTGTTCTTCGTCTATTAAATTAAATGCAAGTTTTAAAAGAGAACTTTAACATATTAATAAAAAAGAAAATTTTACATTATTTTACCTCTCGTTTTGCTGCTTCGCCGAATGCTTTACATGCCCAACCATATAATTTAGTTAATAATTCACTCTTTTGTCTACCTTCCGATAATGTTATTAATTCTTCATCAACTTCTTTAATAAGACCTTTAGATTCTTTTGTACCGAATAACTTTTTAGTAGCTGATAAGAATCTTTGTCCTTCAATATCTTTTGAAACCTTTTCTACACCATCTTCGAATTTTTTAATTTTTCTATTAAGTTTTATACATATTTTATTATCTGGATCGTTTCTTGTACATTGTTTAACATATTGTATTGATTGTACAGGATTATACAATGTAAAATAATTAAGTTTAGCGAGACGGACCAAGAGATCTAAATTGTTTGGATTCAGTTGTGAAGTTGACCTAAGAAATATAAAGAATAAAGTTTAAGTAATTCATCGGAAAATATTAATAATAAAAAAAAAAAGATAATACTTACGATAAATCTCTGACGCCTTCCTCTATTTCGCCTTTTGCCAAATGGCATTCCGCCCTCATTAACCTTAATTGACCCGAACGCTGTGAAATTATTATAGCCTTAGATACTAAATCAATACATTCATCATAATTTTCCTTAGCGAGGGCGTTTTCGGCATCTCTTATCAGCTGCTCGGCTTGGTCAATTAATTGCAACTATATACAGCATATATATATATATATATTTTATAGTTAATAAAAATTCGCTTGCAATATTTTTATAATAAAACATATTTCATATAAAAATTAATAAATTACCAATTGTCTAGCATCAGTATCTTTATCATTCTTCTTCAAATATTTTTGTAAATCTTTTCTCGCCTCGATTAAAGACAATTCCTTTACATATATTTTAGCGCGATGCAACAATGCTTGATCAAAATCCGGTTTTAGCTTCAATATCGTTGTAAAATCTTGAAGGGCCTTTGTACTTCTACCCAATGACAAATAAGTTGCAGCTCGTTTAAAATAAGAAAGGTAATTCTTTGGATCTTGATCTATATACATGAATCAGGAGTCGAGCATTAAAAAAAAAATTCCATAGTACATACCACCTAAAAAAATAAAGTAAAACTTACTAATAGCAGCTTCAAAACTTCTTAAAGCATCATCGTATTGACCCTTCGTAAGAAACTCGTTACCTTCTTCAATGTATTGGTGTGTTAATTTTTCGGCAAACACTAATAACGAAGTTGTAGACAGAAAAAAAGGTACAAAAGCTACTAATAAAAAGTGAACTTTCATTGCAAAAATGTTTTTTCAATATCCAACAAAAGAAAAAAAATTAGAACTTTTATTTTTGTCAATGATAGTTTTTAAAAATAATCTCGGAGTATTTATTATTTAATGTGTGTTAAATTATGATTGGACAATTTTTTTGGCAATTTTTTTTTTCTTTTTCGCTGATACGTGACAAATAAAGTTTCTTACATCATCACCAGAATACATAGTAAAAAAATGAAATATGAAGGGTGTAACGCGTGTGGTGAAATCTCATTTTTTTATGGCATATTGATTAATAATTTTTAATACCTACAAAAAATCCGATTCGGTTTAGTTGATGTTGATTATAAAAGAATTTTAATATGAAATTCATTACAACTTAATTTATAGAATAACATATCCTTTCTTAATAGTTTAATAGTAATAAATTCAATATGTTTTTTCAAATAACAATATAATTTGATTTTTACTTAATTTAATTTTAAATTAAAACAAGTAAATCCATTTTAAAATTAGCATAAATATTTATTAAAAAAAAGATATTTATTTAGTATAAAATGTTTTTAATAAAATTCTAATAAATTTATAAAAAATTCTTATATTATCATTATACAGTCAGACCTGTCTATAATCACCACTTTTGGTTTTCAAAAATTATGTGATTATAAATAGGGGTGATTATATA